AGGGAAAGGAAGCAAGAGCGGCAAAGCTTCGCATCGTCTACTACCGTTCATGTCAGAACTGGTGCCATCATTGCACCGGATACCGGTACCCATCCCTACTGGTGACTGTGACAGGGCAGTGCGAGACAACAGGAGCAACTAAGAGTGAGCATGAAAGCACAAAGGTGGAATAATTAGGAGCCAAACATGCATAACGGTGTTATTTAGATCCTCTATGATTTCTTTATGTGACTAAAACATAAAGTCTGCAAAGGAAAAAACAAAAGTTCTTGTTGCTCTTTGGCTTTAGCCTCCAGACTGATATTAATTGCTTTGTGTGTTTCTGTCTGTGAAGCTCGCAGCAAACACTCATCAACACCTCACCATGTGCACAGAAACCTAAAGGCCTGTTTCTGGGTTCTTCTATAATCAGCTGCAGTTGCTTTGTGGAGCTGAGCGCTCGAGGGCAGATATTTTCTCTGAGCCATCTGTCACTGTAGCTATTCCACCTGTTAGCTGCACACTGTGTGCAGTACTGTTCAGTCTTTAACCACAATATTAGCAAATTACTCACAGTCCACGTGAATCCTTTGCTCTGAGAGAGGAAAGTTTGTGTTTTACACTCAAAGTACTTTTACTGGAGTCTTGGAGAAAGTTGCTTCTTTTGGGATTAATGAGGATTTTTAAGGTAATAACAGGCTGTGACGTGTTATTGATAAAGCTGCAGTGTGTTGATCTTTGTTGGTGTAAGGAGATATTTGTGTGAAAACCCAAACAGACACGGCTGCTTTCTTTCTCTGCAGCCGGTGAGCCACTGAAATAAATTAAAGTTCCTCCACATGTTTGTGATTATCTGTAGCCAAAGAGGATCGACTGAAGTCTCAAACTTGTGCTGAGTGGAAAAGATGGAAATGTTTGATCTTTTGATTGATGCGAGACTTAAAAGATTCATCAGGCATTAAGAAAAATGTTGGCTAATAATTTTGTGCCATGAATAACTGCTGCTGTGAAACGCCGTGTCCCAACATGGTGCTTTCTCTGAGTTGTTCCACATTCAGCAACTGTAGGATTTACTTAGGTGCAATTAGGTTTTGGATTAAACGTGTTTTGCCTGCTAATCTCGTG